TCCAGGCTGAGGTGCGCAGCGCGCAGGGCGAAAAGGGCCCGCGAGAGCGAGGAGGGGGCGGCGGCGGTGTGGCGACGGCAGTGAGCGCACCAGCCCAGCAGCGTGGTCAGCTGCTCCTGGCTCAGCGCGCCCCGCAGCTCGTGCACCGCCGCAAAGGCCGACGGCTGCGACTCGAGCTGAGCGATCCGGTTCGTCAGCGTCGAGACCTGCGCAGCAAACGCAGAACAGAGAGCATGGGACGAGACGGCCGCGAAAAGGCTCCGCCGCCGCGGCGCGCGCTGCCGGTAAGAGGACCACGCGGCGGGGCAGAGGGTGTGCAGCCGCAGGGAGCAGCGCGCGCCTGCTCCTGCAGCTCCTGCACAAACTGCTTGTGGCGAAGCCGCGCCTGACGCGCGCTCTCCGCCTTGCGCGCGAGCCTGCGCGAGGGGAGGGGCGCGCCACGCGTCAAGATCGCCGCGCGGAGCAAGCCGCTGCTGCGCATCGCCGAGCAGCGTCGCGCGCCTCGAGTGCCGCGAAACCTCGCCGCCCGCGCAGTTCGCAGCCGCAGCGGAGCCCGCGTAAATGTCCTCGCCAGTGTCCATCTCCGCGTCAGGGGTCTCCGGCGTGGCCTGCGGCCGAGGCACCCCATCCATGCTGATCATGGCGCGGCAATAGGATGCAAGCCGGAGGCCTCGGAGATCGTGGCAGCGACAAGGGCCCTTGTCGGCCAGTTCACGACCCACACGTGCCCGGGACTTTGCGTGAAGAAAAAGAATTTCCTTGTCGCACACTGGGCACGGGACTGGCGCGCACTGTACACCACAAGAAAAAGAAAGATGGGCCGGGCGCGTTTTGAGAAGGGTGCGAGAAAGGGAATTCCGATGGGTTTTATATTTTTATGCTTGTTTTCTTTTTCTTCCTCGGGGAAAAGAACTTCCGCCGGAGCGCCCGCCGTACCCCCGAAGACATTGTCCCCCCCCCCCCCCCCGCCCCGGGGACGCGCAGCGCGCTTAGACGCGATGGTGGCCACGCGCCGCCAAGCCGGGCGTGAGTCTGCCGAGCTGGGACGCCGGGCATCATGCGCAGCGCGCGACGGCAACGTTGTTGCGCTACGCGCGCTGCACGAGCAGGGCGTGTCGCTTCAAGGAGCAGACGCTGACGGCTGTACTCCAGCTCACTTCGCTGCTGGCAGCGGCCACACTGACTGCCTGCGAGTGCTGCATGGGGCAGGAGCGAGCCTATCGGCGGCGGAGGCGGACGGAAGAACTCCCGCTCACCTCGCTGCTGGGCGCGGCCACGAGAGCTGCCTTCGAGTGCTGCACGAGCTTGGGGCGGCGGCGAGCCTGTCGGCGGCGGATGCGGAGGGAGACACTCGGCCCGCTCACTACGCTGCTGAGCGCGGCCACGAGAGCTGCCTTCGAGTGCTGCACGAGCTCGGGGCGGCGGCGAGCCTGTCAGCTGCGAATGCGAGGGGAACGACTCCCGCTCACCTCGCTGCTATGCGCGGCCACGAGAGCTGCCTCCGAGCGCTGCACGAGCTTGGGGCTGGAGCGAGCCTGTCAGCTGCGAGTGCGAACGGAGCGACTCCCGCTCACCTCGCTGCTACGAGCGGCCACGAGAGCTGCTTGAGAGCGTTACACGAGCTTGGGGCGGCGGCGAGCCTGTCAGCGGCGGAGGAGGGCGGATGGACTCCCGCTCACCTCGCTGCTTGGAGCGGCCACGAGAGCTGCCTGCGAGCACTACACGAGGGGGCTGGAGCGAGCCTGTTAGCTGCGAATGCAGACGGAGACACTCCCGCTCACTTCGCTGCTTCGTGCGGCCACGAGAGCTGCGTCGAGTTTCTCGTCTCGATCGGAGGCGCTGCTTCCTTGTTTGCCGACCTCGCCTCCTCACCTGGCCAGATTGAGACGGACTACCCCGTCCTGCTCTCAAAGCCGTCGCTGCTCGTCTTGGCTGTCAAGCGGGCCTGGCTGCACGTGCGCCTCGAGGCGAAGGTGGGCGGCGCCGACGCCGTCAAGCTCTCGCTCGTGGCGAGGCGCGACAACATCCTCGACGGCCTCTGCGCACAGCTGGGCGTCGACGAGACCACGGGCAGCCTTGTGGAAGGGACGCGCGCGCAGCAGCTTGATGTGACGTTCGATGGCGAGGCGGCGGCCGGCGACGCTTTGCGCCGGGAGTGGTTCGGCCAGGCGACGGCCGAAATGGTCGACGGGCGGACAGGCCTCTTCTCTCCGGACGGGCAGCAAACGCTGCGGCCGAACCCGAACTCGGCCACTGAAGCTGGGCCGGACCACCTCTCGTACTTTGCACTTCTCGGGCGGATCACCGGCCTGTCCCTCTACCACCAGGAGACGCTCAACGTCTCTTGGTCCACCGCCTTCCTCAAGGCGGCCTTCGGTTACGAGATCGCCTTCGACGACCTAGAGCTGGAGGACCCGAGCCTGCACAGCTCGCAGACGCAGCTGCTCTCCTTGTCCGCGGAGGATCTCGAGGCGGTCTGCCTCACCTTCGAGGTGCGGAATTGCAACACACCATGTCTGAGATTGGTGGAGACGAGCCTACCCCCCCGCCCCTCGCAGGTAAACGGCGACGAGGCGCTCGTCTACGAGGACTCGTCCAAGCGGCGGCGCGTCGTGGAGCTCAAGCCAGGAGGTGCTGACGAGGTGGTAACCCAGGCCAACCTCAAGGAGTACTTGCAGCTGTACGCCCGCCACAAGCTACTTGGCGCGATCGAGCCGCAGGTCTCCGCCTTCCGCTCCGGGTTGGGCGTCTTCTTCGACGAGGATCTGCTGTCCACCCTCCGCACTTGCTGCACGGTCGCCGAGGTGCAGCTACTCATCTGCGGCCAGGCTGCGATCGACGTCGACGACTGGGAACAGTTCACGGTCTACGACCCGCCCGGCTACCGCCAATCGAGCACCGTGGTGTCTCTCTGGAAGGTGGTTCGCGCGATGTCAGTCGAGGAGCGCGCGCAGCTGCTCCATTTCGCCACCGCCTCGACGCGGCCGCCAGCCACCGGCTTCGCCTCGCTCATGGGCTACGGAGGCGCCGAGCAGCGCTTCACGGTGACGCGCTTTGACGGCCCCAGCGCCACCGAGAGGCTGCCGACGGCATCGGCCTGCTTCAACCGGCTCTACTTGCCCGAGTACGGCAGTGAGGCTGAGTTGCGCGCCAAGCTGAGGCTCGCGCTGACGGAGTCGCACGGCTTCGCCGAGGCGGCGGTGGCCACGTGATGAGAGGCAGAAGCACCTAGACATGTGCATGCGCATGTGCATGTTGTCACATGAAACGGACAGTCTGTAAAGCGAGGGGCAGTCCAGATAGTAAGGTAAGGTAAGGTAAGGTTAGGTATAAACTTCTCCACACACACGAGGTGGTGGGGCAAGGGGGGGCAACACCTCGCGTCTCCACGTCTGACGACAGGAGCCCCACGGCATTCAAAGTGCAAGGCCCAGGCCCCAGCTAGTGCGCGTGGGTGAGCGCGGTGTGGTGTGTGTGTGTGTGTGTGTGTGTGTGTGTGTGTGTGTGTGTGTGTGTGTGTGTGTGTGTGTGTGTGTGTGTGTGTGTGTGTGTGTGTGTGTGTGTGTGTGTGTGTGTGTGTGTGTGTGTGTGTGTGTGTGTGTGTGTGTGTGTGTGTGTGTGTGTGTGTGTGTGTGTGTGTGTGTGTGTGTGTGTGTGTGTGTGTGTGTGTGTGTGTGTGCGTGTCCGTGTGTGTGTGTGTGTCTGTGTGTGTGTGTGTG